GAGCTTTCAACGTGTTCTTTATGCTGAGCATAACCCGTCAGAAGTAAAATGATCCGATTTCTTACCAAAAGCTCCGTATTATTTTTGTCCACTTGCTGAGAACTGAGAACTGTGTGGACAGGACGCAGATGCCTCGGTTCAGGTTGGCTACCCCTGTGGCATGTGCTAACTGCTTGACTGGAGATCTTGGCCTTGAATGGGAGTCCTGGCACCCCGGTCACTGCACTCAGCGGCTCATGTACTTGTCCCCACAGGACTGCCGGTCCAGCCAGGGCAGGGCGAGTCCCAGCGTGGTTGGGAAGAATGAACGGTTGGTTGAAAACAGGAAAGCGGTGGCCGGGAAGAAAGACGCACAGCACACACAGAGGAGGGCAGAGAAGAAGCAGCAAGGCTTGCGGGAGTCAAGTGACTCGCTCAGTGACTGGCTGATTCAGGACCGCTTGAATCCCTCTCATTTGAGAAACAGAAAGGTCTTTGTTGGTGCAGAAAAGGTTGAGGATGGAGATGAGGCCAGCTGGACGTGGATCAGGGGGAAGGAATGGACTCAGAAGAATTGGGTAATCCTGTGTATGAGGAAAAGTACATGCGTTCTTTTTATTGAGCATTTCAAGAGATGAATCTCCTTTGGGATGCGCTCATCCGAATAGGAAGGTGATGGGAGGAAAGCTTGCTTAGCCTCCCGCACAGGAGTGTCAGCGTTCAGACTTGACCTGAGGAATCTCTGCAACCCCATGTATTTGGGGCCATTATGGCGAAGCCATTTGTGATGGAGCAAGTGTAATTTTCATGGCTGAGCCCATCTGAATGTGGTGTGTTTTATTCTTCTCCCATTCATTCATTCATCATTCATTCATTCATCCTTTTTTTCTGACTTTCAATAAGTGTTTGTTGAACACGCTGACAAAAGGCAGGCATCTGCGAGGTAATGAGAAGAGCATGGTGGACAAGACGGACGCAGTCCCCGCACTCCTGATCGTTCTAGCAGAGTGAGGGTGCCCTGACGGGGGCCAGGCAGGATGGGGGCACAGCAGAGAGAGTTTGGGGCTGACACTGGGAGGAAGTCACTTCTGGAAGGAAGGAATCACGTGAGCTGCAGGGGCCCTGCTCTGGGAGGGTGGACGATCTCCTCCGTACCATCCGCAGTAGCCTCACCCAGCCTGGTCATGTGCTTGATGGCTTTCACTGGGCATACAGAGATTATAGAAGCAAATCTTATAACTTTACTTATGTCTTCTCTCTTTAAAAGCTGTTTGTATTGCCCTGACCGGTTTGGCTCAGTGGATAGAACGTCGTCCTGCGGACTAAAAGGTCCCAGGTTCGATTCCAGTCAAGGGCATGTACTTTGGTTACAGGCACATCCCCAGTGGGGGTTGTGCAAGAGGCAGCTGATCGATGTTCTCTCTCATTGATGTTTCTAACTTTCTATCCCTCGCCCTTCCTCTCTGTAAAAAATCAATAAAAATATTTAAAAAATAATAAAAAAGCGGTTTGTATTATGAAAAATAAAATATATTAAAAATAAAAAGTATACGGAAAATGTGATTGAGTGTAGGTATGGAGGGTGTGTAGAGTCGATTGAGGAATATTAAAATGAGCTCGTGTACCCTGGCCAGTGGCTCATTTGGTTGGCGTGTCATCCCATACACCAAAAGGTTGTGAGTTCCATTCCCGATCAGGGCACATACCTAGGTTGCAAGTTTGATTGCCTGGTTAGGGTGTGATGTGTGTCTTTCACATCAATGTTTCTGTCTCTCCCTTTCTTTCTCTCTAAAATCAATAAAAAATATTCTTAAGTGAGGATTAAAAAAAAAAAAAGCTTGCCTGCTGTCATTCTAACCTAGGAAACTGAACATTATCCTCATGACCACTGGGCGGATTTTGTGCCAGTGTTCTCTCTGGCTCCTCTCTTTTCATGTGATGTAAAAGGTCATGTCCATGCTTGTACCAGGAGGCACTGCAGGCTCACCGCCCGCTGTGTACCAACGCCAGACAGACAGGCTGGAGAGCTGTTTTTAAATAAATCGCTTTATTGCACTCTTTTAAGCAGGAGAATATACTGGTGACATCAAAGTGCTTCCACAATTTTTCAAAACAAAAGCCTTCTTTTCATCTCAAGGAGAATCTTAACACAGTTTGTTAACAGGATGAGGTTTTGACAAACCTGGGCACTACAATGGACCCAGCAGTGACACGACCAGGAATTGCTTCCATGAGAACAGTTTCCAACCCCCATCTAGGCCGTGAGAGTGTTGATTCGCTCCAGCAATGCTTCTCCGGTGAATTTCAGATGACTTTATGGTGTGGGCGTTTGAGTTCACTTAGAGTAAAATCATCTTGACAGCTTCGTTGGGAGGCGTTACTTATATTAATGCAATCATTTAAAGTATTGAATAGATCCTATCCGGAATAGCCTCTTGGGCAGACCACCCTTGAATGTGCCTTTTCTCTTGTGGCTGGGATGGATGTTGTTTTGTATTCTCCATTTGCTTCTCCCTCCCCCTAACCGCCAAACTGTTCTGGTTCTCCATCCAAAATAGAAGAACATCAACTTTTGGGTTTGCTATTTGACCCCTGGTGAGTAGATTCCTCAAATTTTTTGACCACTTATCTCATGATTTTTCGGGCTCTTTTCATTTGACTCTGTCTTTTCGTTTGTTTTCTTGCCCTTCAACTCTAGAGGCAAGATTCCTTCCTCAGGAAAAAAGTGATCGCAGCTCCTGTTGCCATGGTGAAGCGTATGTGTGCGTTAACATATACCCGGAATCTAGAGTTGGGATAGGAAAACATTGGCATATCACTTCATCTTCTCATTTCATTTCATTTCTGTGTTTTTATTCCTGAGGCGATTGGTTCTTCGGGGATTCAACACTTTCCCTCCCATCTATGGGTTGTTAAACTGAAGCTTTCGTATTTTTTGCAGCGATTGTTGCCACTATCCCGATTATTAATTCTTTAGCCTAAAAGAAACCTATTTACTCTCCTATTCAGACCAATTCCAGTGGCAGTGCCTGGAGGATGTAGGTTAGAACAATAGTTTCTCTACATCTCAGTGTTCTTTACATTCTCTGTTTTCACTAGCCCTTGAAAACTCTCTATGACTCTGAGGACGAGCCCTCTGAATTCCACAGTGAGCTCAGTGTGTATGCCCATGTCCTCCCAAGTCCCTTAGAGGAAGTCTGCACAAAGCACCCCGTTCCCCCTGTTAGCAGGCCAGCCAGCTCCTCCTGCTGGGGCTGCAGGGAATGTGGTCCCAAAGGAAACCTGTGTTTAGTTCCTCTCATTACCCAGACGGGAGAAACTTCCCAACCGTCTCATTCAGGCCCCTCGTGGTTGGTCAGAGATGGTAGCGCTGTGCACTTTGGGGTCTGTCCTGTGCGGGGTGACCGTGGGCAGTGTTACCTGCTCCCTGGGGTCAGCTGTGCAGAGACTCAGCGTTTCAACAGGGGATCCCTCTCCCCTCCTGTCTCACGCATCACGATCGCCTAGGACACCTCCAGTCTCTAGACTTGGGGGGTGCTCATCACAAGCAGAGGAGCCCAGGTGACCAGCGTGGTCGCTGCAGCGTGTTGAGGGGGACGTGTAGCAGAGGTCTGTGCGGTGGCCAGGCCTGTGAGGGCTGTGGCCTGATCCTGGCTGATGTGAGGGACCCTGGAGGGTTCTGAGCAAAGGAGTGATAAGAGCTGCCGGGCATTCGGGCCAGATCTCTCTGGCCAGTCCCTGGATTGGCTGCAGGTGAGTGGGTGAAGGCGGAAACAGCCACCAGCAGGAAGCCACTGAGATAACCAAATGCCATGTGGTGGGGCTGGACCAAGATAGCCGAGTAATTAAGTCTGTCTTAAACAGATTGTCCCAAAGCCATTCAGGGATTTGGCTAGTCTTTGGTTCAAATTCCTGGCTGGGAACGTGGACGCTTGGCCTAAGACCATCTGTCAATCACACTCACGGTGACGGTCTTGCAGCCAGGCCTCGGGACAGGCCTGGTTTGGGAAAATCCTTGAGAAACCTTATTCATTGACTTTAGACGGCCTTTCCTTGCGGGGCTCCTCACTGTGGGGAGCACCGGCGGAATCACAGGGTGAATCAGGGTTGCCAGGCCGCGCCGCTTCCTGGAACCGGGGGTCAGAGCGGCCAGCCTGGCTCTGCCCTGCGGGGCGAACTCCAGGGCCCGGGGCTGCCGGGCTGCTGCCCACAATGGAGAGGGACGCCTTTTGTTTGCTTCTTGTGTGGAAGGAGGGCTTGTTTGGAGGCTTGGACCACAAATAATAACCCATTGTTCCCTATAATAATAATCCACCCTCTTTAGCAGAAAAAATCTGCCTGGTATAGTGTGGCTATCGGCTATTTGAAAGAATAGCCAAAGTGCCCATTGTGTCCTGAGAATAAATATTTGGAAGATGGTTGTGAGGGCTGGGAGTCCCAGCTACGACTCGGGAAGGAGAACTTCTGACTGAGCCCCTCTGTCCCAGGACAGCGCCCCCCTTACTCTGCCGGTCCGTGGCATTCTGAGAGTAGTTGGGACACTCCAGATACGGATTCTCTCCAAGTGATGTCTTAGAAAAATGCCTGATTTTGAAGACGGGTGTTTTTAATCTTTTCTGAATTTGCTTTCCTGGTTTCCAATTTTAGGTCAAATAAGTTTTTTTGTAACCTTCATTGTTTCCATGAAAGTGTCTCTTTCTGAGGGAAGATTATTTTATTTTAGCAGCAAGCCTCATAATTCCTGCAGTTGCCTCTGATTATGGATCTGGGGGCGCGGGGAGCTATTTTTATATTCTGACTGATAGGATTTTAAGTACTATATCCTGGGCTTAGGCTAACTGGAAAATGGCAACAGGTGAATTAAAATGGGACCCAGTGTGGTCGACTACTTCGTGAGTATGCATGTACCTAGCACACTGACTTCACCAATGAAGGCATGGGTCTGTGGGTGGGTTAAATAAGAAAGCATGGCTTTTAAATGACATGTCATCTTACCTAGAATAGCTTTCATTGCTTTAGATATGGAAGGTAAGCCCTGGCCGGTAGCTCAGTTGATTAGAGCATCATTCTGATATGCCAAGATTGCAGGTTCGATCCCCAGTCAGGTACATATACGAAGCAACCAGCGAATGCGTAAATAAGTAGAGCAACAAATCAGTGTTTCTTCCTTTCTCTCTCGTTCCCTCTCCCTTCTTATCCCCCACTTCCTCTCTCTCTCAAATCAGTAAAAAAAAGGAAGATGAGAAAAGTTCAGTGTGCTAGCAACTACAGTGTAACACGTGAATGTGAGAACAATTTGAAGAAGAAAAGCCACCCTGGTCAAAATATACAAAAGCCACCCAAGTCAAAATATACAATCCCTCTCATCATTGATGTTTCTATCTCTCCCTCTCCTTTCCTCTCTGAAATCAATAAAAACATATTTAAAAAAATCAAATCAGGCCATCAGAGAAGCAGCCAAGATGTCCTTCAGCAAGTGAATGGATAAACTATAATAGTACTAAAAACATCTTGTTACTAAAAAATAAAATTATCCTAGACCATCAGCAATTTATCCTGTTTGTAGGAAGTACCTGGCTATAGAATTTTTTTAAAATATATTTTATTGATTTTTTTTTTTTACAGAGCGGAAGGGAGAGGGACAGAGAGTTAGAAACATCAATGAGAGAGAAACATCGATCAGCTGCCTCCTGCACACTCCGTACTGGGGATGTGCCCGCAACCGGGGTACATGCCCTTGACCGGAATCGAACCTGGAACCTTCAGTCCGCAGGCTGACTGACGCTCTATCCACTGAGCCAAACTGGTTAGGGCGCTATAGAATATTTTGACAGAGATTTATATAGCACATGATGGCAGCAGGTTACTGTATATGTGTGTGTGTGTATATATATATATATAGTAATTTTCTTATATCTTTGTCATTTTCTCTGATAAATATGCACTGTGGTATTCATGCTAAAGCCTACTTTTTTTTCTTTTAATTTTTATTTATAGCTTTTAGAGAGAAAGACACTGAGGATGGAAGAGGGGGAGCGGGCGGAGAGAGAGATACATTTGTTGTTCTACTTATTTACACATTCACAGGTTGATTCTTGTATGTTCTCTGACTGGAATCGAACTCATAACTTTGGCACATTGGATGATGCTCTAACTAGCTGAGCTACCCAGCCAGGGCCATGCAATCCTACTCTTACCCCTTCCTGTTTCTCTCTCTCCAGTGACTGCTGGCGTGTCAGCCTTGGAGGTGTACACCCCAAAGGAAATCTACGTGGCCAATGGGACCCAAGGGAAGCTGCCGTGCAAGTTCAAGTCTGCGAACACCACCAGCAGGTTGACCACAATCTCCTGGAGCTTCCAGCCAGAGGGATCCCACACCACCGTGTCGGTAGGAGTGCCTGCCTGCCTACTCTTGGCTAGACCTCCCGCAGAGGTTCCCCACCGCTGCGTGTTCAGTGAGCCCTTCTGACCCATCTCTCCCAAACGCAGTGAGGCTGTCGTCTGGCTGAGACTTCAGGGCCCTTCCCTTGCTTCCGGCTCTCCAGGAAAAAACCAGTTTGGTTTCTCTACAACATAGAGGCGAATGTATCCCAGCCTAACCAGCACTCATTTGGTTCTACCCGGGATACATTTGCCTCTATGTTGTAGAGAAAGGTACCTCCGGAGTATTTAGGCAGTAAAGGCGCAGTCCCCTGGGTCGCGTGTTGAGTGGCAAACGAGAGTACGTTGTGGGGTGTGTGTGCCGGGAGCGACCTGCCAGTGGCTATGTGCCCTGTTTCTGAGAGCCTGAGGGTGGGCACTGCTGCCCACATGTGGGGTGAGCAGCCGGTCTCTCTATGTGTACATAAACGCAGCTTGTTTCTCGTGTTTGTGGGTCGGTCACCTGCCATCCCTCCCGTCTCCTCCACCATCACATCCCATTTTGAAATGTATCTTCCACAGGGCAGCCCCTGGCTTACCTTGTTGACTCCATTCACGATTCATCCTGCATCTGTTCAGCTGCCATTTGCTTCACTTTTATTTGTATTTCTTTTAAGTATTCACACACACACACACACACACACACACACACACACACACACACACGTCCATCCGTTCCAGTGATAGTCCGGGAGCTCTCTGTGCAGGGAGTCTGTGAGAAATGGGGGATAGCAGCCTGTGCTCTCGCCCGGGAGCAATTAGGAGTAAGACTGTCGATGAGTCACCCCGAGGAGGTGGCAGAACAGAAGTGCAGGCCATGGGGTTGAAAGGAAGGTTAGTCCTGAACCAGATGAGTGCTGGTTCGGCTGGGTGCTTGTTAACCAGGGCCCACGCTCGCCTCTCCTCTGTGAAGTGGAGACTGTAGAACTTCCACAGAGAGTGCCAGGGGGGTGGCCCGGGGCGAAGACCTTTATCTCCGAGAGTCACTGAGTGCCTCTGCGGGACCTGTTATCAGCTGTGACCTTGAGGAAACGGCTTGAGTTTCCCTTTTATGTGTAAAACTATGCAGTGGTTGTCACTGTGGTTGTCCCTGTATCGCGGGGATGTCAAGAGGAGGAGAGAAGACACACAAGTGTGTTTTTCACCAGAAACTTAATCCCTGTCTGGCTTAGATTCCGTGACATTGCAATGGGACGTGTTTCTTTCCCTTTGAAGTGTTTGTGAAGAGCCCGCACAGCACCCCGCGTGCGCAGCGTGGAGAACTCCTGCTTTTGGGAAGCGCTCACGTGTCCTCTTTCTCTAATTTCAGTTTTTCCACTACTCCCAAGGGCAAGTGTACATCGGGGACTACCCACCCTTCAAGGACAGAATCACCTGGGCTGGGGACCTGGACAAGAAAGACGCGTCGATCAACATAGAAAATATACAGTTCATCCATAACGGCACCTACATCTGTGATGTCAAAAACCCTCCCGACATCGTCGTCTACCCGGGATACATTCGCCTCTATGTTGTAGAGAAAGGTACCTCCGGAGTATTTAGGCAGTAAAGGCGCAGTCCCCTGGGTCGCGTGTTGAGTGGCAAACGAGAGTACGTTGTGGGGTGTGTGTGCCGGGAGCGATCTGCCAGTGGCTGTGCGCCCTGTTTCTGGGAACCTAAGGGTGGGCACTGCTGCCCACATGTGGGGTGAGCAGCCGGTCTCTCCGTGGGTACATCTGTCGTCCGAAGCCCAGTGGCCCAGGTTCAGGAGGATCACTTTTTCATGTGAATTAGAAGTAAGACCAAATTCACGATGCTCGATGGGCTGAGCCTGGGGAAGGAGGCCAATACTGTCTCAGTATTCTCCAAGAGAAAGTGTTAGCATTTGTGCAAACAATACAGCCGTTTCTTCCATTTTTGGAGAAGCAGCAGGAAATGCAGGTTCTGGTGTCTCCCACGACGTCTGCTTTGTGGGTGAGTAGATGGAGGTAAAGCCACATCCCAGTTTTGCTTGGATCCTAGC